TGAGACATAAGTGAGCTCATGAACAACATGGATGGTTTTTGTTGAGATTTCTATTCACTCAACTTGAGGTCTGAATATTTACTGAATGCATGCATGAAAGAAAACATTTTTGGCAGCAATAAAAAGTTTATTATCTTAGGAACAAAGTTTCTTTCTATTGTTTTTCAAATAAATGAGTAGTTTCTGATATATTGATTAAAATTTGAAGTTGTGTTACTTTGTGTTGATTTTGGCTCCCTTGCCTTGGGCAGATGGGGTAGTATTACACATGGTCACCCTTGGACTGGAAAGGGTTAAGTGATATTTTCATTATTAATTTAATTTAAATTTAATTTATTTTAATTTATTTAATTTATTCCATTTTCACTGCACTAATTTTACATTGGTGAAGGACTAGAAGGGAACATACAAACCATTCAAGCCAGTCCACCATCCCACCCATCCTACCCCAACCCTACAGGAGACGGGACCTCCATTTATTCGTCCCTATCCGAGAAGACTAGAATATCTAACCATTTCTTGATATTATAGAAAGGTAGCAGATTCTTCTCAATTATTTTAAGACCCTGAGTGTTGGTCCGGCCGGGGCTTGAGCCCTCGACCTCCCGCACAACAGTCCAGTGCACTATTCATTGGGCTAACTGGGTGGCGGTTATTCTCGTTACTTTTCTGCTTGATATTGTTTTGATATTGTACGAAGAAATTCTGTCTCGCTCACTCATGGTAGTTAAAGGGCTAAAACTACTGTGTGTGCCTAACAGGCTCAAGCCTTATTTGTTGTCTGTCTGAAGACAGCTATAAATCTAATGAAGTTAACTTGGCCATTTACAGAACAAGCCGCTTTCTGTTTCTCTGAGGAGCAGTCATATCATCACATCCCTGGTGAGTGACCTTGGACACATGTTAATTTTAAACACTGAGAATATTCTGGTTCTGGGACAAATTCATATTTTGTTGGTGAATTTAATGTTTGTTCTCCTGGTAAACTGTCCAGGTAGTTCTGCAGGTATTTATGCATATGACATTATCATTAATAATAAAATGATTAGTATTATTATTATCATGATAATTATCATTTTCAATAATACATTTATTACACCACATAGTAGAGACTGGCTCTAAACATCCCACATAGGAGATGCAACTACCATTAGAAATGGCCACTATTTGGGGAAAATATTAACAATTATAGTTCAATACTTAACTAATTAGAATGATAAAAATTATAACTTCCTCATTTTTATACATATACATATTTGGTTGACTGTTTAGGGCAACCTGTTTTAGATTTCAGTCTCTAATTTCAAATTCTGGCCTGGAGAATATTTTACATTTATAATCAACTTAGGAAATGACTATTTGTCATTGAGTAATCATTAACCCCTGCAGACTTTATCAATGAGTGGAGAAGTGCTCTTTTATGATGGAGCTGAGTTGAGTTTCAGTGAAGAGGTATCAACTGATTGTAAGGGTGAGTTTATCTTGGACATAATATAAATATTAGTATCTGTGAAACAAATACTTTGAGGGGAAGTTTGTCATTATTGACCTAGATAAATGGCCCAGCCTACCATGAATCTCCCATTTAAATGAGTGAAGGGTAGAGCATTGGCAACATTTATTGAAAGATTGTAGTTTCTACTCCTATTTGGGAGCACTCTGTGTTCTTTTTTCTGAGTATCTGCATGTTTGACATTCACTGAATGGCATTTTCTTAGATGAAATACTAAAAACTTAGAAATTCAATGTCCCTGGTTGATCTAGGGAAGAGCAAACTACACATCTGTTAGAGAAGGACTGAATAGTTTTTCTTATAAGAATTGTGTTTCAACCACTAGGTTTTTGTTTTCGAAGTGTGTTTTCAGTCGTCAAATAAAAAGCTACCATCTGTCAATTGTCTGCTGAGATACATTTTCTTACACATCACACCAGTTCAGCTACTCGTTTTCTTCTTTGTCATGTAGTCTGATCCTTGAGGTAAAGTCTGCACTCAAGCCAGAGTGGGCCATCGAGCTGGAAGTTATTCCAGTTTCCGTGGCATGAAGAGGCATATTACAACTTCCCCCCCCCTCCCTAGATGGGATGCCATTCCACTGTAGTCATAGCAAGTAGACAAAATGTAACTTGTTAAATGTTGAAAGCCTTACATTTTGTTTTGAAGATCCTGGTGAAATTAATTTTGTGGCCTCCATCCAAAACTGGTTCAACCCAAACAACTGGCAGCAGATGGAAGTCAACAAACAGCCATTCACGTTATCTCCAGTGTCCATCCTTCATGCAGACAATGTACCTTGTGTACATGACACTGTTGTCTTTCCTCAGGTGATTCAAATGTAAAATGACTTTCAAAGTTATTTTGATTATTAAGATTGGGGCTATGCATTAACATACAAGTGCTTTTCAACAAGGTGAGTGGAAACCTCTTGGGTTAAGCCCTGCCACAGCTAGAACACAAATTTTAAGATTTCAGGGGGTGAACCTTACAAAGTTACAGAATAGAGTGGATGATATCTTACATAGTTTATGTCTGTGGAGTACTTACATGTAATAGGGAGATACCAGTTGGTTACCTTTTACCTGCAGTAAATTAAGGTTATTTTACCTGTTAGCTCCAACAAACAATAACTGATGAATAACACCTTTGTTTTCTTTACAGGACAGTTCCTTCATCGTCAAGTCTGTTTTGCCGGTCAGGGTAGCAGCTGTTGAACTGTTTGGAGAAGTGAGTGTTTACTCTGTAGTTATCTTTATGTAGCTGTTGTGCTTTAATATTTTTTTCTTTTAATGTAAAATACATTCAAATGAGATCAAAATATATTGTTGGGGCAAATTTTTCCCTTTGTTTCCATTTTTCTCACTTGTCATTATGTACTTTTTTGCTCTTCGGTATTTTGTTAATTATGCTCCTTTGTTATGTGCTGTATGTAAATTTTGCTGTATGTATAATTTTGCTGTATAATTTTGCTGTATAATTTTGCTGTCTCATCTCTTGCTTGCGACCAGAGTTTTCTTTTTGTGCCTCTATCCGTAATCAGTGTTCGTAGAAGCAGATTCTTCCTTTTCTCAGTTTCCCTAACCACTAACCCTGGCTATCCTGACAGCATTTGGTAAGCAGCTTCATTTTCATTGTTTTCTTTAATATCATATTGCAGTGGCCTTTGGGTAGTTTGTCTGTGTTGTAATTATTATTTTTTCACACCTGCAGGAATTTACTTTTCTGACATCATAGTAAAACATTTGCTGAGGCATTGTGTTGTAGTTGTTTTCTTTGAACTTATAGGCCCTTGCCTGTCCATGTATTTTGAGCCTTTTACACCAGAATATCAATTTGCATATTCTCTATACCATTCTCTATACATTTCCTAAGGTGCTGATAAGGAGAATTTGTTTAACAGTCAAGAGCTTCTTTAGTTGGTGATCAGTTCCTCCATTCTCATGACTTTAAAGTTTTGATTCAGCTGGGTGATATATTGTAAAGAGAAACTAGATGTTAACCACTCTGACGTAGGGGCCAAAGGATTGAAGAGAATATTGAACTAAAACAGCTTCTGATGCAAATAGCGATGGTTGTTTGTTCTATGATTTTTCCTGACCACTCCCCTTTTCATTATCTTCTGCCATTGTCATAACTGCGTTGCTTGCATTCTGAGTGATTTATATTTTGTTACCCATGCAGGCACAAAGTTCTACAAGTTTCAAGGATTTCTATAGCAGTGCATCCGGAAGCATGCAGTTCAATTTTACTGGTCCAACTGATATCACAGCCAATCACTGTGATGATAGGACAGGCTGTGCATGTGGATATTGGAAGGTGCTGTGACGATCCAACATGCCCGCTCATTAAAAGTCTGAAAAATTTACGATACTGTACTTGTAGTTCTCATTTTAGGTCAAAATGATTTTACCTATAACAATACTTTTGACACTCCTTCTAAATAAACAAACCATTGCAACATATAAGGGACCTGACATTATTCACAGGGAGGGGGGGGGCTGGTGATTTGTGTGCACATAAAAAGGGGGACCATACAAAATTCTGCAATGAACTTAGTTTGAATAGAGAAATTATGTATAACTATGTCTTAATAACATTTAATTTTGGTTTACATAAAATGTTTGGGTATAGTATCTTAGATCATTTTTTGAGTGCAAAAAGTTAATTTAAAGAATTATGGGGGGGGGGACCAATAGAAACTGTGTCCCTAATAAAGGGGGGACTTAAAGTTTTTGAGAAGTTTATTTCTCATTTCCACCAGCCTCCCCCTCCCTCCCCTGTAAATAATGTTAGGTCCCTAACAATTAATTTCACTGAAGTGGAGGTGAAAAGAGGTGGATATTTGCTTAGTTGCAAAGTTTTGGAGTAAATATTGACCACTTTTACCAACACTGAGATGAGAGGGACAGCTGACGTAGGGTGGGGCAGCTTCTAGAAAGTTTAGCTTTCTAATTATAATAATATTTTATTTCTTCTAAATTGTCAACCTGAGCCTATTAAATTGTTGTAATTATTTTGATGAACAGTTTGCTAAAACCATCTGTAGCCATGTAAAATGTGAAGAGCCCACTTGTGCAAGTGCTTTTCAACCAGAAGGGAGCTGCTGTGAGGTCTGTGGTTAGTTACCTTTTTCTTTTTGATTCAACTAGTAGGAAAATTATCCCCAGAATGAATGCATTGGAGAATATAACCACCATTAATGGAAATTAATGAAAATTAAGGCACATTTAACCACCATTAAGGAAATTAAGGCACATTTAACCACCATTAATGGAAATTAATGAAAATTAAGGCACATTTTACAACAATGGAACAACTCACTCTAAATTGTTTCTTTTCAAATACTAGGAACTTTACTCAAACTTGGTCTGGGGCAAGACTTTAAAATGAATGATTTCACAAGTCTGCTTCAGAATTTCTCTCAGAATGTAAGTTGTAGTTTTGTTGATATACTTGTACTAATTTTAACTTTTATTTTAATTGGTGATCTTACATTCTCTCGCATTTTAATTGACCCTTTAACACCCAAGATCTGATGGTTAATTCTCCCTTCTCCTACTAGAAATTTTCTTGTAAATTAGTTGTGAGAATTTGGTGTTAGCTAGATCAAGGTACTTCTACCTGATAAGTTTGAATATTCTCATTACCTGTTTACTGTATAATTTATGGGTATCAAATGCGAGAAGTTACATATTAATCACTTCTGGGGATTGCAACAGAGTTTTATATGCAGACACACCTAACTGGAAGTCAGCTCAATTGTTACCATGGCAGGCTTCTTTTCAAAAGCCTGTTTCAACTCTCAAGCTCATTAACATATTAACTTTGATTGTATATTGTACAGAATAGCATCATTGAATAAAATCTGATTGGTTAACAAAGTGAGGTATCTAGCGTGGAATTGCGAGTTGAAAACAAGGCTAAGTGATATTGTTTTGCAATCTATGTACACATAACAACTATAAGTAGTGCTGCTTTCTTTTTTTCTTATTTTTATTCAGTTATGTAAGGCCCTCGTGGCCCTCAAGACTTGACTGCCCCCTCCTCCCTCACTTCCCCAATATCAGGGCTCCACAGTTATGTGATTCACGGGAAATTCATTTCATGACTCACATTAAATTTCACTTGACGACCAATATTGCATTGGTTTTCGCTTGCAATGCAGATTCAAATATGGGGAAATATTATTTAAACTTATATTATTTAATATTATTAATATTATTTTAATATTATTAATATTATTAATATTATTTAAACTTATATTCAAATATTCAATGCCAAATTCCTGAGTCAAGTGAAAGATTTTCCTAAAGTATATAATTGAGTAAAGGCTGATAGTTTCGAAAGAAACTGTTTGGGGCTGCGTCGGTGGGAGTAACGAAATAATTTGGATATATCAACAAAGCTGAAATGGTAAATAGGCCACCGTAACGATTACAAAAGCTGATGTTCTGAGCGTTATATAATTGAGTGATGTGTAACCCTTCTTTTAGTCATAACCTGTGAGACATTATCTTATGATATTGTAGTTTGTTGTGTTTATTTCAAAGATTCAAAAATTAAATCAGCTTTTGCAATTCCCAAGGTTATCTGATTCCCCAAAGCAAATCAGAGGCTTTTTCCAAATGTATTGCAAATGTATTGGACTTAAAAGTAGAAGAAGTCTTGCTATTTCATCCAGAGCCTTGTTGTGAAATTAAAGTAAACTTACATATAAAATTTTGTAAAAATTTTAGCCAATATTTCTTGATAAATTCTGAAATTTTTATGATGTACTGGTATTATTATTTATTTAATATTTCACTGAGAGAGGGTCCTTCATACTTTAGGTATTAATAACCTCTGATGTTTCCTTTTTATGTATCCTTTCCATGACAAACAATATATGATTTGATTTGATTCATTAGGAATATGAAGATGTAAGTGTGGCCACTTCTAAAACAGAGGCCAACTTTGTTCAAGTTGTGTTAACTGATCGTGAAGGTGGTAAGTGTAATGTATGCCCACTACTACATTTGTAAGTACGGTTAATTCATTACTGCAAGGATCACTTTGATTTCATACATTTCATTTCATCTTCTTGGGTTTTTTCTCTCAGCTATTGATCCCCCCTTTTTTTTGTCATAGGTAATAAAGCACAGATGGCTGCTGAACATCTTAAGGAAGTCTTGATTTTAGGTAAAGGTCTATTAATTTTCATTTTCTATTTGGCCTTAATTGAACAACATGACACTCCAGCTATTTAGAGAAGATTTTATTCACACACCCATGTCTCTTTTCCTTCCCCTTTTGTCTATTCTATATTTAATTCAATGTATGAATGTTTCCCTGAGTGATTAATTGGGTTTCCAGGTCTTTCCAGGTCTTTCTTGGTATATTGGCATTTTTGTTTCTAGGGAATGCATGACTGCCAAACTTGGTAGTCCCTAGAAAATTTCAGGCATCCAAACTCTACCAAACATTGCTCCTAGCTGTTTTTTAATTCAGCTAACTTTGCTGTTGTCCAAGTTTTGTGTCTTACCGTGTTCTGTGTGGCTAAGTGAAACACCAATACCAGTAAATCGATTTAATTTTTTCTTTTGTTCAGACAAGAGTTTCAATGTGGCTGTTACCGAGGTTCTTGAACAATCAGGCACCAAGGCTATTGCTGGAAAGAAAACAGGTTCCTGTGCCTCTATCACTCACAATAGTTGATCTTCCTGTTCTGATAAATATTCTGTTGTTTGATTAACATTCTTCCTTTGTTTCAGATTGAAATGTTTTAGATTTTTAAAATGTTGAACAGAAGTGACTTGATTAAAACATCAGTTTCCCAGAAAATATGAACAAATGGTGATATTAACACAGTTGTATTGTACACCTGAACCAGTTACAACATGGGTTATATAAAGAGCAATATGATAATTAAGTGGCCTATAAGTGTGTCAGTTCTTTGACACTTTTAACATTTAACTAAAGTTAACCCTTTTGCTAACAAGATCTCATTCATTAAGTAATTTTTCTTACCATCTTCCATTCAGTTCTTGCAGGGCTTGACACTAATTTTTCAACTTACTAGCCAAGTAGTTAGTGACAACGTAGATGTTACAACAATTTCAGTTTGTTTAATAGCCAAACTGGCTAGTGCAAATGGAAAACTACTTGCTAAAACAGAATTTCTACTAGTCTGTGGCTAGTTCGCTACTGTTAGTGTCGAGCCCTGTCTAGTTATGTTAATTTTGGAGAATTGGTATTGGATCAACAAGTAATTGCCTGGTAGATATTTTTCTGTATTCTTGTCACTTGCCTCTGCTTAATTTTGTATTGATATTGTAAGGGGAAAATGTTTCCTGGTTACTCATGGGAGTCGAAGGGTAAAGTTAAAACAAACTATAATTGATCTTTAATATTCACTTAAACAGAGAAACAAGAGAACAGTTTGATCATCCCACTGGCAGTAGGGCTTAGCCTTCTCTTCCTGTTTCTTGTTGTTGCCATCTTCCAAATCTGCAGACGCACAAAAAGGTACCTAGCAGTAGGCAGGATGCACATCAAATAGGAACTTCGTTATGGGCCTTGCTTGCCATAGAGTCTCTGTGGTTCAGTGTTAGAGCATTGGAGCGTGGATCTGAAGGTCCGAGGTTCGATTCCTCATGGGGACAAAGAATTTTTTCTATGTCCCTTGCTTGTGACAAAGACATAACACATCTTTCTATAGGTACCATTATTATTTGCCAGGCATGGTAACAGGTACTTGTGATAGACAGAGAGGAAATTTATCAGCCAGATGATGTGTTCCTAATATAATTCTATTACAGCAAAGTCTTAATGTTGTCTGGATCCCTTGGTCTCTGTGAACTTCCTCAAACTTTTGTTTTGTTGGAAGGACCCCTCTGTAGAGCACTTTTGTAGTAATGTGGTTATCCTCAATAATTATAATTTTGAAAAATTTGGTAAAAAGTTTTGACATTGTTGCTCTTTAGCTGTTTGTTTTGAAGACAGAGCCCCTCATTTGCTATGATGATGGGGGATGATTTGGAGCTTACCGGCATCAGTAACAGCGCTAGCCAGACTGTAGATTATAAAGACAATGGGGAGTTGAGGAAGAAGCAACTTGCCAGTCAGAAAGACTCTTGTGAGGTTAGAAAGTATTTCATGATTAGATGTTTTTAAATTCCTTTGTTGGAGAGTGGAACCTTTTAAGAAAGGGGCATTGGGGTCCATTAGAAACCACACAACCATAGAAAAAAAATCATCAAAAATCTCACACCCGCTAAACCAAAACCAGCATGCAAAACCGTACAGTGGTAACAAGCGGAGTCTAGAATAGAAAATGGAAACCAAATAGGAAAAACTGAAAACCACATCAGATATTCAGTATCTATGATAATAATAATAATAACCAAATTCTGAAAAAACTGAAAATCTTAGTACTGGGGGGCACAGGCACAGTTTCTTTCAGGTCTCTCTTCTGCAATTGTTAATATTGCAATCTACATGTGAGGATGATTTCTTTGCTTGAATCATGATGACAAGTGCTTTTCAGTTTTCAAATTAATGAACTTTAATTGTTAATTATAATACCATAGCTTTTAACATAAAAAGGAAAATTTGTTAGAAGTAACAGTTTTGGGCCAAATCAATTCCATCGAGTAGCAAACGGAGGAGACTTTGAATCAAGGGCTTCCAAATTATAACTCCAGCATTCCAGCCAATTATAGCCACACCACCTCCAGCAGTATGCTTATTAAAGTCAATCACTAACAAATTCTCATTAACTCAGTTACCATTGCATCCAATGGCAACATTGGATGGTCAGCACGCACATAGTTCAAATGTTTATGGGCAAGTGGGATTTTTGTTAGTTCCATGTTCATGACAATGAAGTGTGGGGGATATGGTGGACATTACTCTTTCACTCCCGAGATCTCATTAGCAATTCTCCTAACTGTTGACCATACAACCATTATAATACCTCTTTGGAGAATTTAGTATTGGATCAACTAATAATCCCCTTATTAATATTTTTCTTTATTCTCGACACTTATCTACTTGATATTGTATTGCTACAGTAAGGAGAAATTCTGTGTTGGTCACTCATGAGAGTTACAGGAAATCACCAGTGCACTTGATTCTGGGTCAAAAGGTCCAGACCTGAGACCTGGCTGTGTCATTATGTTGTGTTCTTGGGCAAAACACTTTACTCTTATAGTGCTACTCTCCACCCTGGAGTTTAAATGGTTGCTAGTGAGTCGATAGGGATAATTGATGAAATGTTGGGGGGAGGGAGGGGAGGGTAAAGGAGTAGTTTTTAGCCCTCACTTGTCAGTCTAAATGATCTTTCTTTGGTGTATCTTTTTTTCTTTCAAGATGTCAATGGAAAATCCCCTTTATGAAAGTTCAACAAAGTGAAGACGCTGAGAAACAAACTGGAGATGTCATGTTGATTGTCATCAAGCCTCTAAATTCTCACTAAGGTCAATCAAACATTGGCCTCATGAGAATTAAAGAAATTATCAAAAACTTGAAAAGCTCTTGATTATTAGCTAAATTGTCAGTGTCATAGAAAAGGTATAGAGAACACTATGGAGAATAAACATACTGATTATTGGGTGTGTAAGTATTGAAAGATTGCCTCGGTTTTGCTTTACTTTACTCTGCAAGTGATCTACGGTACCTGAGACAATTATCTTTAATCACTTAACAGAGGATTTTATCAAACACTAGTAAATGTAAATTTATCACTGGAAATATTTAGAACATTTAAATAATAAATAAATAAATAAATAAATAAATAATGATTTAACAATGGACATCCATTGGGTGGCTATTCTTGTCCACTGTTCCAGATCGAATTGGAATTTGGAATGTTGGTTTTTGCGGAGGGAGGAAAACCGGACGACCCGGGGAAAAACCCTCAGAGCAAGGACGAGAACCAACAACAAACTCAACCCACATGAGACGCCAGGTCTGAGAATCGAACCCGGGCCATAGTGGTGGGAGGCGAGTGCTGTCAGCACTGCGCCATCCCTGCTCCCCAGTTTTTAAATAATTACATTTCTTTGATCTGTGCATTTATTCTTTAACTGAACAAAGGAGATAACCATTGAAGTAGACACTGCCAAGATTGAAAAACAAAAGAAATGCAGAATTGTTCTTTTATTTCAAACACTCACCAAGCAAGGGTACAAGATTCACAACGTTAGCAATATTGGAGAAAACCACTATCTGCTGGCAAGATGCCATTTCCAGATTATGTGTCATGGCATGATTGAATAGAAAAAAACAAATCAAAACTATGAAGAAGACATTGTTTCTCAGTCAGAGTCTGAATCGTACTTCTCAATTCCCTTCTTATGTTTTTCAACTGCTTCGCGATGACGACGAATGGCTTCTTCTTGGTGCTCAATCTCCTTTTCATGGTGCTCCACTTGTTCCTCCAGATGTTTCTTCACTTCCTTCAGTTTTTCTTGTTCCTTTGAACAAAACAGGAACAATTTTCCAACTCAGGTTGTTAACCCTTATATTTATTTTACTTTTACTCAGGAGAGTAAAATGACATGATTGAGTAAAATCAAGTTCCCTACACTCACTGAAACTCTGTAAAGCAATATATTACACACAGCCACAAGTTCCAGAAGCCAGAAGCAGCATGAGTGAAGGCACGATTCCTAAATGTAGAGCAGTTGACCCATTGAACAAACAGAAGAGATTGTGTAGACAAAAAAAGAGCATAGTCAGAGGTGGACTGAGATTATTTGATGACTTGAAAACAAAAAGAAGCAACTTAAATTGAATTCTGAATGATACAGGAAACCAGTGCAGGTCAATAAGAGCGAGTGTGAAAGACATTTTTGTCAATACCCTGGATGGTGAAAAAAGAAAGGAACAGGGTTTCGCTGTGGAGATCTTGCTGATAACTCTCCTTTCTAACCTATATAAATGTCCTTTTTTTATAAGTTCAGGGAATTTGATGTTTTATCAACTGAAGATTACACCCTATTACTAAAAAATTTGTCTACTATCACTCTGCTAGTTTGGCCGCTACTGATATTACTTTTGAAAGTGGAAAAGTTGAGTTATCAGTTTCCAGCAACAGCCTGTGCTGCTACATTAACACTGCCACTACAAATGAAAAATCAAATGGCTCCATAGAGAAAACAATTTTTGCAGACCTACCAGCTTTCTGAAGTATTGTTCCTCATGGACATGCTCCATCTTTCCAAATGAACCGCCAGCACTCCTGAAAATTTATAATTGATGTTTCATCAAATAAATCAAATTTTTCACTAGGGATGGTATGATTACCGCATCTTAGTTTTTAGGTTGGGACACCTTGCACATAAGTAGCATACTTTACAAGGACGCCTAGCTCCAACGCTGCTTCAACTGATTTTGAGAATCCACTTGAATACCTTTGTCTCTGCATCAGAATTTTTTGCTGAACAAGTTACAAAAATTCATCTTAAATTTGGACATTTATGATCTATCAGTTGTAGTGACCTGCTGATGTAGCAATACTCATGGAGAGGTTTGTCAGAGATATCTGTTGGAGCAACCTGTTAGCTAGTGTCTATGCCATGTTATTTTTGTCTGAAGTAGTATCTCTGTGAGTGGAATCTCAAGTCCTCGCATCTGATTAGCAAACTGAATGCTCGTAACTGGTCCAGCTTCCACACACAGTCCAAAAATTTTTTTCCATGCCATTAGGAGCAAGGCGTCAAAAAAAATTTTTTTTTTTTTTTGCCATACGAATTCCTCCCACCCCTGCATGGTAAAAAAACAAATATCTGAGCAACTGATGACCATCAATGGATAACCTTACCTAATGTCTCCTCCAGCTCCACCACCCTAAAGAATAGACATAGACAAACAGCACTTATTTACTAACTTAAATGACACACTGAACATGTCAGGTGATATACTGGAAAGTTCAGGGGGTGGCCTCTCTGAAAGTTTCAGGGGGCGACAGTGTAATTTTCAGGGGTGAGTCACACAGTGAAAGTTTCAGGGGGTGAAATTTCAGGAAACGAAATACTGAAAATATCTCGGAAAAAGAGGAGAAGTGAGCTTAACGGGCTAGAGATTTCGAAAAAATTGTACAGCTCAAATGGAATTAGCAGAGGTGAGGAAACAAGGATCAAACCAAAAACCCTCTATGGAATAGGTACAGATATTTTGTAGTCAGACCCATGAGACAGATCCAGAGCAAACGTAAATAAATTGGAAACGGTAACAAAGTAAAAAAAAGCCCCGTTTCCTGCAACAGAACAGCCCCTTCCACACTCTAGCTACACGTACCAATACGGTTTTTAACGCTCTTGATCTCACAAATTAGTCACCAAACCCAGACTTGGATGTACAAAAGTCAATACGTTGTGTGCAGTTTCGCAAACTTATTTCGGCTTGAAATCTCACGTCAGCGTGAAAGTAAGCTTAATTAATCAAGATTAAATTTGTGAAAAATTGTACAGTGCAACTTGGAATTGCTCCTACATGCCGTATTTTACATGACAATCGTTTAGAAATCAAGATCATTGATGCGAAAATATGAAAATTGTAGAACTTTTCTTCTTATTTCATAAGCTAGAGTGATATTACTTCGAGAAGTGCTATATTTGCGACGAGTTCTTTGGTGTGTGAAATTGGTTTGGGCATTTTATCCTAAAATTACCGATAATTGCTAAGAGTGAACTGAAAAAAAAAGACAGAAAGGCCAATCGAGTAGCTACCTTTCCTACGCCACCTCCTTTTTCTCCAGCAGACATTGCCCTGAGTTGTAAAACAGGGGAAGAAATTATTCGTCGTGAAACTGCACATAGCCGAAGAGCCGCCATGTTGAATGGTTGAACAAAAATCGACTGTGAGCGAAGGATTGGGTTCTAACAAGGCTAACGAAGAGGGTTGGGTACCAGACGTTTCTAGACCTACGGAGCAATTTACGATGGAAGAGGCGAGAAATTTTTTGTGATTTGCGTGGTTCTAGCGCAAACTGTTCATTTAAATCAATAGTTATGGGTAGATGACGATGAAATATTTTTACCTGTCTGATTGGAGGCATGTCTAGCTCTAGTAAACGAGAGGAAAATGAGGAGAAACTCTTGCAGTCGGCGCGTCGAGGTGATTTGGACACTGTTCTTGTGAGTGAACGATTTCTATTGTTTTCAATCCCACTGAGCATTAAAATTACCGGTATGGCTTCCAACCGCCAGAAAACGAGCTAATACTTTTTATTTATTTTGCTCTTCTGCGGTTCATTTGAAGCAACTTATCATTTTGAATATTACAAAAACAAGCATTTCGATAGAACTTAAACTTAAACCAATTTTTATGTTTGTTCGTTCTGTTGTCTTCCTCACACGCAATTTACCGGAAGCGATAAAAAGCAGTTTTTATTTAATATCCCTCCTACAGTGTTCTTTTAAGATCTCCCCTTTGTGAATGCCTAGTTTCCAATAATCACCAGACATGTTGCACATATAACTTCGTGTAAATTAATGTCAGTGTACGCGATACAAGCTGATGCGTTTTGCATCATCACGAGACGAATTTATGATAAAGATTTCGTTTCGATCGCCTAAATATTAACTTTGGAAAAATGTATAACACAACAACTGTGGCGATTAAGCTTAAAACATGTTGAAATGTTCAAACAACAGACGGAATCACAATCGCTCGGCTGATAAATATACCGCCTTAACATGACTGAGTGATTTTTTCTTCTCCAATGTTCACTTAATTGAACCATTCAGGCCCCACAAAAAGGTGTGATTTTCAATAATTATATTTCTAACAGTAGCACTGTGTTTGCTACATGTTGTGAGTTTTGTGTTACAGGTTTACTGTTAAGACTAAATAATACTGTATAATCATATTTTTTTAACACCTTGGGGACATGCCTTTGTTTGTCACTTTAAGAATGATAACATTTGGTCAAGTCATTTAAACTTGCTTCACCCTGGGTTAAGTTTTTTCTTTTATGCCAGTTTTTGTAAGTGGTACCAGGAATTCAGCCAATAATTTTTTTATTTTAAGAATTGTGTGTGGACATTGTTACTTTTAAGCTAAAAGAACCTTTTTCACACACTCTGATGCAAACTCACCCAAAAAAATTACTATAGACATTATTTTGAAGTTTGGAATTTAATGGGAGATCATTCATGAACAATGTTAAGTGTGAAAACTCTATAAATTGAAAACTTCAGATATCACCAGCAATACTTAACTAATTAGTATGGTTTGAGGAACATTATACTGTCAGCTTGTTTCCTGTTTCTTCAAAAAACTTAAGAAATTTCAGCAGCAACAATTATCATCAATTTGGAACATTAATCATATTTGTTTTTCTAAAGAAGCAAAAAAAAAAATGATGGCAACTCACAGTATTATATTGGGTCTTAGTGCGTTTGACTCATCCTGGATTTTTCAGTTTTCTCTCTTTTGAATTATCTCTCATGGTTGTGTGGTGTTCTTCATCTTGTATCAGAGTTTGTTGCAAGCTAAATCACCCGGAAAAAGTAGCTCTCGTTCAAATCTTGATGTGAACTGCAAAGGTATGTCATATTGAGTTTGTTATGCTGTATTTGATATAGTGTAGTGGGCATGCTGGTGAGCAAGGGTTCAAAGGGAAGATGTAAACAATAGAATGTACATTTGTTTGTGGTGATAGTTTCTGCTTTATAAGTGCTTCTCTTGATTCCAACTTTACCTCTGAAATTAGCATGTTTTAAAAAGTTATCGTGGCTTTACCTATAGACCAACTTGCAGCTCCTGGATTCTATATTGTACATTGCACACTTGAATCGTAGTTAACCCATATCTTCTAAGTTTTCATAGTGGTTCATTTTAAAGTACTTGATCCAGACTTAGATATATAGTGTAAATAGTGTGAGTTGCATGTGTACCAAAAAAAAAAAAATGGACAAAAAATTGCCAGATAAGGGCAACAGTTGAAGTTACCCATATAAAGTGGGGAATATAGATTAAAATTGTTTGACAAAGGTATTTTTAGCAATATTGAATTTCATTATTTGTAAAGCAATAATGCAACAAGGCTAATATTCTAATCCCTTGACTGACCAGTATCTAATTTCTCCTTACAACATTCCCCTGAATCACACATAAAGGTTACAAGAACAAACAGAATGATCACTGAGTAAAGAAGCTCTTGATTAAACAAATTCTCCTTAATTGTCAGGACCTTGGGAAATTTATAGGAAACGGTATGCAGAATATACACACTGATGTTTTGTTGTAAAGAGTTGTATTCTTGGTTAACTTACAAGCAAGTTCTTTGTCGCTCACAGCTGGTAACTGATTGTTGAAGCCAAGCTGATTGGGTTCAACTTATTGCAAGGGTCTCAGATTTTTTTCCCTTTGTTCTATGCTTGTGACCAATGTTGAGTGTCATTTTGTTTTTCAAAACAGAGAGAGATTTCAGAGATTTAAAGTCATTAAGTTTTGATCACTGTTTTTCTGTAGGGAAATCAAAAGCAAATCAAGGCTGGACCCCTCTCCATCTTGCAGCATACTTTGGACATTGTAATGTTGTAAAAGCATTGCTTGAGGTAAAGTACAGACCACATAACTTTGTATCTGTATTCAAGGTGTTCTTTGCTGTTTGAGATGATACTCAGGGCTCGACACTGACTTTTCAACTAACCAGCTAAGTGGCCAATGACAACTTAGATGTTACAATAATTGCAGTTTGTTTACTAGCCAAACTGTCTCATGGAAATCAAAAACCATAAGCTAAAACTGAATTTCTACTAGTCTGTAGCTTGTTGGCTACTGTTAGTGTGGAGCCCTGATACTGGGGAAGTGAGGGAGGAGGGGGCAGTGAAGTCTTGAGGGCCACGAGGGCCTTACACTATGCTTACTACCGCTTATCTCTGATAAGTGTCGCACGAGGTGAATAATTTGTTCACTCCTCCTGGATGGAATGCCAGCCTGTATAGACTACTTTCATAAATGGCGGCCAGATTAATATTCTTTTGTTTTAATTTAAATTAGCCCTTCTGGCCTCGCTTGAGATAATGTATTCTTTTGAATTTTGAACTGGAGAACGAGGTCAGCAAGGCTAATTTAAATTTAAACAAAAGAATATTAATGCGGCAGCCATTTATGAAAGTGGTCTAGGGCAGTACATATCCACCCTGACAGTTTGCTGGAACTCATTTACACTCTTGAGTGGTGAGAGAAACAGTGAGAGTATAAGGGCGCAACTCATTAACCCAGCCAGGGGCCCATTCCTTGAAAGTCCCAGTAGCCTAAGGGGCCCAGAGCCATATTTTCAAAAGTTAGTGAATAGAGAAGAAGGTTGTGGCACTCTAACCAGTCAATTTTGTTTCTTTAGCTAATAGTTATATTGAGAAGAATATGCTGCCTTTCTATAACATCAAGAAATGGTTAGATATTCTAGTCTTCTCGGATAGGGACGAATAAATGGAGGTCCCGTCTCCTGTAGGGTTGNGTAGGAGACATTAATTTCCCACGCACGAGATTACTGTGTGATGGATGTCCTTCCCTGGGTGGGATGGGTGGGTTTACTGGGCCCGCAGTAATTGGCACAAGCTGTTGCAGTGTCCCTTCCTGTCAGCGAAGCTAATAAAATAAAATAAAATAAATATAATTCTTAAAACTTTTGCAACCCCCATCTTGAATGATAATAGGACAGCTTCACGGGCTTTTGAGGTCTCACACATAAACCCGTTAACCCAGAGTGCAGTATATTGATCATTGGGCTACCTTGTCCTCCATCCTGAGATATTTTTTAATTGGAAAAAACTGTATTTTGCATATGTCTCTTTAGAATGGAGCTGATGTCAATGCCAGAAATGGAATGGGAGACACTCCACTACACAGGGCTGCTTTCACTGGAAGAGCTGTGAGTTAACTGACAGTTTACATTCCTCAATGTACCATTGATTTATTAATGAGATTTAGGACTAAAATATTGCATCTTCTTGTGCAGTGTATTACTAGGGTTTATTTTGATTTGGCTTGATTCTTTTTCAGACAAAACATTGTTCTGACCAAATGACATTTTCATCATATTTGTCATTTCAAACATGATCTACCTTTGAAAATTTACCTCATCTCTGGTTTCTCTAGTCTCAGCAGTACACTTAGCTCTCTCAATGTTTTTCACACCATCAAGGAGAATTAATGGATACCAGTGCATTGACCAAAAAAAAAACCCTGTAAAATACTAAGGCTCTAGCCATCAGATGGACTAGTTTCCCTTGAAGGAGAATGCATTTTCTTGCAGTGATATTCTTGATTCTTTCATGCCAATGAATTAAAGATAAATGTAAATCTGTCTCAAACTTATTTGAAAAACTTTCCCTTAATATGATTTGTGTTGCTCCAAATTTGTTCAGGATGTGGTCACATTACTGATTCAGTATGATGCAGATGTTACCATCATCAATGGAGAGGGTAGAAAATCAAGCCAAGTCACCAATAGTACAGAAGTGAAACAACTCATCAAAGGTAAAGATAAGTGGTGTTTAACCATGTTGTGTTTTTGAATTAGTGTTTATCATTAATATCCATAAATGTACAATACACTTTAATTATAGAAAAATTCAGTGCCTGACTCTTAAATTCTGTGTTAAATTGCAAGGAAAAATGGATATTCCATGAGTAGTGAGTGTCATATACATTTAGGTTTTCAAGTGCAATTTTATGCTGAATTCAAGAGTCAGGTAATGGATTTTCTATGAATTGCATATCGTAATTGATTAGAAATAAGAAAAAAAGAAAACAGCAATTATGTTGTTTGTTTAAATTATACTGAGTGTGAAGCAAGAGATGGGGAACAATATCATTTAGCCTTGTTTTCAACTAGCAATTTTAACCTAAATAACATGCTTTGTTAGAAGAAGTGAACTTTATTTGAGACAGGGTGGCCCATTCAGCTAGGAGGCTGTTGTTCAGGACCCTGTATATGCCTAAAGTCATTATGATATTATAATCAATTACTGTAACAATAAACACTTGAAGTCTAGAACAAAACCAATCAGAATGCAAGTTTTTATTTAATTATGCAATTATTTCTCAAAGCTACTGATCAGAATAATGGCAGCTATGAAGTAGAGTGAGTTAATTGTAAGAGAATTGACTGTTTAAACAAAAGTGAAAAACTGAAAATGTGCTTGCCACCAAAAACATCAGGAGATTGATGAAATCTTGATTAAGTATGGTTTTGCAATGTCAGTTTTGAAAGTTTGTGCAACAGCTCTCTTTGAAAAGCAGAGCATGTGTATAAATTCTGCATTGTTGATCCATCTTTCCATGCTTTAAACAGATATCTAGAAAGCCTATTATTGTTAAATAAATGCATATCTTACAGATAAATATTTTGAAACATCCTGTTCATCTAAATCCCCATTATGGACCTTTTTAAAGTTTTACAAAATTTTTAATAGTGTTTGACAGTCTCCCAGATTATTTGGTGACTCACACTGATGCACAGATCTACAAACTTTTTGAAACTTTGTCTGCTGGTACCACTGATACTCACAAAATTATAACATAAATCTGATTTTATCCCTGTTCAGCTGCAGAAAGGAGTCTTCAGCTGAAATTAGAGGAACATTTGCTCACAGCTGCAAGGGAAGGTGATACCTCAGAGCTGAAGAAACTGGTATGCTCATCAAAACTTTATTTTCTACAAGTGAGAGTGTACTTTTCAGCTGCATTATTTTCATCAACAGTTGTGCCTTTTCCTTTGCAAATCCACCTCCCCTCATACTTGTTTGTGTCTTCTGACCAATTTCCCACACCATGGAGTGCATATCTAAGGAGCAGGTATCTGAGGAGCTCGTATCTAAGGAGTTCGTATCTAAGGAGCTAGTACCTAAGGAGCTCATATCTAAGGAGCTTGTATCTAAGGAGCTCGTATCTAAGGAGCTCATATCTAAGGAGCTTGTATCTAAGGAGCTTGTATCTAAGGAGCTTGTATCTAAGGAGCTTGTATCTAAGGAGCTTGTATCTAAGGAACTTGTATCTAAGGAGCTCGTATCTAAGGACCACATATGTGTGTTCCCTACTGCTGCCACATAAGCTCTGCATTCTCACTGCCTACTGTCAGTTTGATAATAGTGCATCTTAACTGTTTCTTCAAAAACAAGCTATTTTGATTATGGTAATCACTGAAACGTGACTGGCTGTTCAGCCCAGGATCAAGGATTCACAGTTGTAGTACTTTGCTGTAAGTGCTCTATAGTTTGGCCAGATGGACATGCAAAAAATTTCAAACAATCCCAGCCTTTACCCACTCATTTTTTAATTATTGGGTTAATCCTTTACACCTTAAGATCAATCTGTGCATTCTCCATACTGTTCTCTTTATATTTCCATTGGTACTGACAAGGAGAATTTATTTGACGATCGAAAGGATTCTTTAGTTGATGAGCACTTCTTTAATTCTCATGAAATTTTGTGTTTGATTCAGTGATGAAACTGTGAGGAGAAAGTAATAACAGTAGATGCTTGTCACCCCTAAGAGCAAAAGGATTAAGGCAGGGGTTTCATCAAAAGCCAGTGACCTGAAGTCAACTGCCCTCTTATAAGACAGCAGTTTCATTAAGGGGCAAATTGAGTGGTTTTGAGGACGTTGGTTTGACAATCTGGAGGAAAGTTTATCTTATAAAGAAGTTCAATTCAAAATGTTTTTCGTGCTTGTGAAAACCAGGCACCCTTCAGCTGAAAACTTTAATGAAACCCCTGATAAGATCTCTCACCGTTGGGTTTCCCCTTACAGCACAACTACCTGCTGCTCCCTCAACAACTGCTTATGGAAAAACGTTTTTGACACCTTTGGTAAAGAGCACTCAAATGAGTAAGACAGAGAAGCAGTTGTTGTCTATGATCATTCAAGTGCTCAAACCTTTGATTTGTTGTTGGGTTAGCAATGGAGACTTGCTCATATCTATTCTTTTGAATGATTTGGAACCAATAATTCTTGATGTGTCCCTGGATATGATTTGACCCTTTAAAAAAGTGCCAGCTTATGTCAAGAATCTGACTGTATCAAACATGCATTTAAACCAATGTAAATAACATCAGAAATTAAACTGATAAGCCAGTACTTGATCCCTATTAAGACTGTGAAAGTGAGGTTTATCTATTTGATTGATATATTTTCAGATTGACAGTACACATCCTCCAAACATCAACTGCCAAGACATGTTAGGAAACACTCCATTGCATTGTGCTGCATACAGGTACATGATTGTATAATCAACTCTGTCTGTTGATAAATTGAAATTTATTTCATAATAGAGCTTCTCAAGTGATTTTCAACTCAGTGTCACAAAACCAACTTGAAGCTATGACAATGGCCAATCATAACCACACTACACCTTGTTTGGGGTGAATTCCCCATGCAACCAAAGATAAAGCTCTTGTTGACCCCTTGGACTTTCAATGTCTGTTTGTAAATTCCTCCCTCTAGCTGCTACATATTTCCTTGTTAGTTAGTTACAAGAAGTTGGTGTTAGATCAAGATAACTTCCTGATAAGTTTGAGTATTCTCATTACCTGTTTGCTAGATGATGTATGAATATTATAGGGAGATTTAAGTTAATCACTTCAGGAAATTAAAGGGTTAACCAACTGTTAACAAGCTACTTGTATGTCTGGCTATTCTTGAGTTACTATAATTTTGGTTTTAAAATTTCTTCTGTCAAGACTTCAAAACTCATTCAGGGCTCAATACTAACAGTAGCCAACTAGCCACAGACTAGTAGAAATTCAGTTTTGGCTTGTGGTTTTGGATTTCTGCGAGCCAGTTTGGCTAGTAATCAAACTGAAATTGTTGTAACATCTAAGTTGTCACTATTCCCTTGGCTAGTAAGTTGGAAAGTTAGTGTGGAGCCCTGACGTTGCCTTGAAATTTCAAATTTCCTAAAAACAGTAGTAACATTACTTTGAGGATGTGATGTTAAAGTCTCCTGAAAATTGTTCACAGCTGTTGGATGGAGCTTTGTTAAGTCTAACACTTGGGGAATACACATACTGTCATATTCAAGTGTAGAAAAGACTGGTTAAGTTCATTTCCAGATACAAGCATGGTGTGTTTATTTTTTTCTTAACCACTACACACAGATTTGATTCTATGAGTTTTAGTTTGCTGTGGGTGAGAAGTTGCCCATGAAGACTAAGTTTTAAAAACAAAGTCATTTCATTTTTGTTTTTCTGTTAGGGGACACAAAGTGATTGCAGTCACACTTTTGCAGCATGGGGCAGATACCACTATCAAAAACAGCAATGGTAAGAAAATGACTAGAACATTGTATTTTGTGCTACACATTTGCCTAATGAAGACTGACAAAGTCCCTATTGAGAGTAATGCCCTTGAACTATCTTGTACTTGTGAAACATAGGTAAGACGCCTTTGGATTTAGCCACGAATAAAAAAATGAAGCAGCTCCTGGATGTACAACCTCTGCAGGTTTGTATCAAGCGGATCTTTTTTTTAATTCTGGATAGTTATGCACATTTATTTCCTATTTAAATTCTTGTTTCAGGGCCCAACACTAACTTTTCAACTTACTAGCTAAGTGTCCAGTGATATCTGAGATGTTACGACAATTTCAGTTTGTTTACTGGCCAAACTGGTGAAAGGAAATCGAAAACTTCTAGCCAAAACTGAATTTCTTCTAGTCTGTGGTTAGTTGGCTACTGTTAGTGTCGAGCCCCACCTTGGAAATGTGCCCTATGGAGACTCCAGAAGGATCTTGCATGAAAAACTCTATTGTTATGGTGCAATACCGATAATTCGTACCTCCTGAGGAAAACGGAGTGGGTCTAAATTATTGAGAGGTTCGAAAAATCGGGGTAAAATGGCAAAATGTTTTTCCGGAGGAGAGCTTGAGAAGCTAATTTAAATTATAGTGATTAAGATAGATATAATACTATAGATTAAGCCTTTGAACACTAAGAGCGATTCACATCTAATTTCTCCTTACACCACTTTTAACGTGTAATTCATTCCTGAATTACACGTTAAAAGTTAAGAGAATGAAGGAAATGATCAGCAACAGAAGAAGCTTTTGATTGTTAGACAAATTCTCCTTGTCAGCACCTTACAAAATGTAAAGAGAACAGTATGGAGAATATGTATACTGATGTTAGGGTGTAAAAGGGTAAAAGATAAATCTTGTTGGATCATTTCTGTAACAGAAACTCCACAAGGTGGTGTCAAGACATGAAGGTGCTCTACTCAAGGTGAGAAACTCGTTGGTTGTTAGGTGATGTGAGGTTGAAATGATCAGTAAGTGAAGAAGCTTTTGATTGTTAAACAAATTTTCCGTGTCCGCACCTTGCAAAATGTGAAGAGAACAGTACGGAGAAAATGTAGACTGATGTAATGGCGTTAGGGTTTAAGATAAATCTTGGAGCTGTACCAAACTGAATTTACTGTAAATTACTGTGGAAAATATCCTGTTCCAAGCGGTCTGCCAGTTGAACGAAGCTCGACGGTCAATGGTGTGAAAGTAGCGGCTGAGCAAAAAAAAAAAAAAAAAAAAAAAAAAAAAAAAAATCGCTTCCTTTTTCTCACTCCTCCGCCACAATCGCATCTCTCGTTTACTTCGCTCCATTTTACCAACTGAACGCTATATAGACAACCCCAATACCTCTGTAAGAGTGTATTCTAGAGTTTTATTTTGTTATATTCTTTTTTGAAAGTCATTTTGTTTTCAATAATTTGTGGTGTATCAATTTTTTTTGGTTCGAAAGCCTTTTTTGATGTTTACAGCGTTCTCGATTCTTTGGGTGGAAGAAATTTTGGGTTGTACTCGAGAGAGGCGTCCTTAGCTATTTTAACAAGAGGTAAGTACTTCACAGCAGACTGCATTCTTTTAAAATCATTGGTTCAAATTAATTTTTTTTAATGGAATTTAAAGGAATCTAAATTTGGATTTAGAAAAGTTCAAGTTCTTTTTTTTCTTGAGCGCGTGTTAAGTGCACGTAAAATTTTGCGCACGAACGAAAATAACGCTCTAATTCTCTCCATGTAAGTTACGAGAACATCAATGGATTTTCAAGCAGATAGGTGATGAGGACAAGAAGTAACTCTTAACTTTACAGTATTTTATCGGTAGAATAGAGAATTACAGATTAGATCTTGAGGTTTTTTAATCGTGCGCGTCACACACAGATTCAAAATATTTCGACTCAGCTCTTTACAGTTATTAAGTCGTGGAAAAAAGTGATGTCTTTTGCCTCCCGGTTAGCTCAATTGGTTAGAGCGCTGGACTGTTGTGAGGGAGGTCGAGGTCGATGTTTCGAGCCTTGGCCGGACAAACGCTCAAAGTCTTAAAATAACTGAGGAGAATGCGCTACCTTTCTATAATATCAAGAAATGGATAAACATTCTAGTCTTCTCGGATAAGGACGAATA